TATTTGAAAACCAAAATCCCCTCCAAACCCCCCCCCCCCCCCCCCCCCCTTCCTTGAACCAAAGGGTCTTAGGCAAGTCAAAATTAAGCAGCAGCATAATCATATTTTGTTTTTATTTTTAAATTATGATTATTATTTTTTTGATAAGCACTTGCACAATCACATAGCAAACTGGTCAGCACCCACCTACCCCATAGTATGATGGTAGTACAACACAACCACACAAATCCAAAGCCACCTTTTAACCCCATAAAATAAAATAAAATAAACCACCCAACTGACCAAAACAAAAAAACCAAAAACCCAAAACAATAAAAAAAATAAATAAATTCTTAAAATATAAATATAAATACAGAAAAGGGAAAAAATGAAAAAATATTAAGTGAGGATTTTGTAAAAATGACTTAATAAAAAAATTTTATTAATAAAATAACTTTTTAAAAATTTTTATTTGTAAAATAATAATTTTTTACAGATGATTTTTTTTTCATAAAAAATAAAAAAAATCATTTTATTAATTTTATTTTATTAGATAGTTATTCTAACTTATTACCGGATTGAAGCCTTCAATTTGGATTTTGGAGTCTTTGGAGTTTTGGAGGGTAGGTAGGTTTGGGTTGTTGCTTCTTCTTTCTTCTTCGTCGTCGTAGTCTATATATCTACGCTTTTACCCAACACCATTTTCGCCCACCAAACTTTCTTCTTCTTCTTCAATGGCGTCATCTCTCTCGTCGAAGCCATTTCTCGGAACTTCTCGTAAAGAAGGCTTTTCTGGTTTCGGTTTGGGATCTCTCTCCTCCGATCTCCGAACCCTCTCTTCCTCTTCTCTCCACTTCTCCACCGCCTCACCAACCCCCAAGAAGCTCCGTATGTCTCTTTCTCGCTCTCTCTATATATATATATATATACACACACATATATTATATATATGTATATATATATATATATAAGTATATATATGATGTTTTCATTCCTAAATTTCATTGCTTTCCGCTTTGCCTCTCTTAAATTTATCATTTTTTGTCTTTTTTTTTGTTGCTCTTGATGCTGATGCGGCGTGATGGTTTTTCCTACTTTGTTAAGATTGAGGATTTTTTTTTCTTTTGTTTAGTTATGATGTTATTTGGAACAATTAGCTAAACGCCAGCTTATTTTTCCCGCTTTACTTCCTCAAATATTTGCGGAGTTGAAATGGATTTCTCAGGAGTATACTTTATATATACAATTACTTCATAAATCATGGACATTTGAGGGAATCAGGGGGGGGAACTGATGCTAAATATATTTGCTTAGTATAGATTTGACAATGTGAGCAAGTTGACCTGCACTAATGATGTCTTTAAGTTCAGACGCAAATTCAACAAAATTTGTGTGACTCCCCAACATGTTTAAATAGATAATTACAAATGGGCAAACTATTTAGGTCAAAGCTTACCAAGATATCGGTCGTAACCAAATGGGGACTTTTAAATTGCAGTCATGCAAGTGCTAGAAATGGGAGTTTGTTACGGCTTATCCACCTAACCCAGGCCCAAGTGCAGACAACCCTGACACAGGGCCCAAACCTTGGCGAGTCTATCAAAAGAGGAAGGAGTTGGTTACGGACGGTTATGGGGTTAGCAAATGAGGAGGTTACACGTGGCAAGCTAGATGTTGTAGCTGGGAGATTTAGTAGCTGGTGGGCGGCGTTGGTGGGGGTGTGGAGAAAGTATCAGAGCAGTCTTGGTGGGCAAGAGGAGTATCCTCTTGATCGGGATTGAGCTCCTGGGGGTGTTTATTGTTGCCTTTAAACATCATTCCTTTCCTTAGGGATTTGCTATTGTAATTCAGTTTGGGTACTCATGTTTAGCTTGTAGGGAGAGGGTGCCTAAGTGGTTATAAACCCACATGTTAAGCCCATATTTTAGCAATGTGAGACTCAACCAGGATCCTAACATACCACCACGCTTCCGACACTGACGTTCACGGCCGCCCACTGTGGATGGCCCACTGCCTTTCCAGGTCGCCCCTGCCTAGGTCACCCCTGCCTAGGTCGCCCCTTCCACAACGTGGGCCTGAAGAGGAGCATGCTCTGATACCACTTTGTTAAGACCTTGGATTAGGAATTTGGGAATTCACACAGGAAATGAGAATTGGTAAGGAAACACACGGATTGAATTGATTAAAACTTCAACTAACGAAGGAATTACAGGAAAATATGGGGGTGTTTGAGCGACCCCTTGCACTCCTTAGAGCCTAAGCTCGTCTATGGCAATTACAGAGAGTAAATTCGATAGATCCTCCTACCTTGCTCACTCTGTTGTTATTCCCTGATTCTTCCTAACCGTTTCCTCTTCCCTTCACCTCTTCCGAGGCCCTCTCGAGATCCGAGACATCACGCTCTTCACCCCGTGGTGAACTCATCTGCCCCTTGTGCCCTTTCCATGTCAGCCCTTTTTTCTCCTCTAACCGTTTCCACCTCACCAGCCTCCAGCTCATCCCTTGTTGCCACATCAACCCGAACTCTTCTAGGCATTCTTCTAGCATAGGTGAAATGTAATGGGGGTCTAGGGAACCTATCAATACCCCCGGCCCAAAGACTCACCTTGTTCTCAAGGTGGAAATCTGGGAAGGCTGCCAGTATGCGGTCGAAACTTTCCTAGCTGTCCTCATGGTCAGGCAGCGCCTCCCAATGGATGAGGACCTCTAGTGCCGACGTGGACCCATGGGCCGCTTGGCGGACTCCTCGCAGTGCGGGTGGTCGAACCTGTAGAGGACACGAAACGGGGTCATTTGTGTGGCGGTATGAAAGGATGTATTGTACCAATATTCTGCCCAAGGAAGCCAGTTTGCCGTTGGGGTGCATCTGAGGAGAAACACCGAAGGTAGGTCTCAAGACACCGATTGACCACTTCGGTTTGCCCGTCCGTTTGAGGGTGATAGGCCGTGCTCCGAGTTAAGGTAGAGCCTTGATGCTTAAACAATTCCGTCCAGAATTTACTCAAAAAAATCTTATCGCGTTCGGAGATAATAGTGAGGGAATACCGTGCAGCCTTACCACGCCGCGAAGGAACTCGTCTGCCACTGTTGTCGCGGTGAATGTATGCTTGAACGAAATGAAATGGGCGTACTTACTCAAGCGGTCGACGACAACCAGGATGGCATTGAATCCTGCTGACTTGGGTAGCCCTTCAATGAAATCCATTGATAGATCGTCCCATACTTTGTCCAGAAGGCGCAGGGGTTGTAACAATCCCTCGGGGGCCAAGGTCTCATATTTGTTTTGCTGACAAATCTTGCACTTCGCAACATAGGCCTCGACGTCCTTCTTCATTCCAAACCAATACCAATTAGCTGCCAACCGTCGTCTTGAGCACCCCGGAATGTCCTCCAGCCACTCCGTCATGATAGGTGTGGAGCAATTTGGTTACCAGCCGAGAATCGCGTGAGACCATAGCCCGGCCTTCTCTCATGAGACGTCCTTGCTGCAAGGTGAAGCCCGGATGAGCCCCTGAATCGGCTCGTAGATCCGCAATAATGTGTGAGAGCTTGGCATCCTCGGCATTGTGGCGGTGAAGCTCCTCCGCATCGAGCTCAAAGGGTGCGGACAGCAACTGGAGTTCCGCAGATGTGGGAAGGCGGGAGAGGGCATCTGCATCCTTATTCTCCAGTCCGGGACGATACTGAATTTCGAAATCAAAGCCTAGAAGCTTGGACAGCCAACGTTGGTGGGATTCGCTGACAACTCGTTGATCCAACAAGAATTTCAAACTCTTTTGGTCGGTGCGGATAATGAAGTGCCTCCCTACAAGGTATGGCCGCAATTTCTGGACCGCCAACACAATGGCCATAAGTTCGCGCTCGAAACTGATTTCAAGTGAGCGGAGCTGGAGAGAGCTTGGCTAAAGAAGGCGATTGGCCGCTGATCTTGCATTAATACCGCCCCGATTCCGACCCCTGATGCATCCGTCTCAACCACAAATGCCCGGGAGAAATCCGGCAAGGCCAACACAGGGACTGTTGTCATGGCTGCCTTGAGTGTGTGGAAAGCTTTTGCAGCCTCTGCTGTCCATAGGAAGCTGTCTTTCTTTAGCAAATTTGTTAGTGGCCATGCTATGGATCCGTACCCTTTAACGAACTTCCGATAGTAACCCATTAAGCCCAAAAACCCCCGAAGCTCCCGCAAATTGGTGGGCGGTGGCCAATTGATCATGGTTGCGACTTTGGCTTGGTCTGCTGCCACCCCTAACTTTGAGATGATATGGCCTAAATATTCCAGCGTGGATTGCCCAAAGTAGCATTTTTTTGCATTCGCATAGAGGCTGTGTTTAGCTAGCTCGGCAAGCACTATCTCTAAATGCTCGGCATGCTCACTCACCGTTCGGCTATACACCAGGATATCATAAAAAAATACCAACACAAATTTTCGGAGAAAGGGCCGAAATACCTCGTTCATGAGAGACTGGAACGTGGCCGGGGCATTGGTCAACCCAAACAGCATGACCAAGAACTCGTAGTGCCCCTCGTGGGTGCGGAAAGCCATCTTCGGCACATCCTCGCTGCGCACCCGGATTTGGTGATAACCGGACTTCAAATCGATCTTTGAAAAAATGGTGGCTCCGTGTAATTTGTCTAGGAGCTCGTAGATGATTGGAATCGGGGAACGATATGGTACGGTTTCGCGGTTTAAAGCTCGATAGTTGACGCAAAATCGCCAACTTCCATCCTTTTTCTTGACAATCAGAACCGGGCTGGAGAAGGGGCTAACGCTTGGTTGTATGATTCTTGCGGTGAGCATTTCACCCACCAACTTCTCAATTTCACTCTTTTGTGCTTGTGGATACTGGTATGGCTGGACGTTGATTGGAGAGGAACCTGCTTTCAGTGGTATGGCGTGGTCGCCCAGCCGTGGTGGAGGGAGGCTAGGTGACATTTGAAAAATCTCGGCGTGTCGCTGTAGCACTGCCGGTAAGGCGGCTGGCACTGCCTCCACCAACACCACTCCTTGCTGGGTTTCAACTAAAAACGTGCCCAATTCCACCCAGAACCCCTATCCCTCTTGCTTCAAAGCCCGCATCATGGTTTTCAAGGACACCGGAGACTTACCGAGGCTGGGGTCTCCCTGCAATACCACTGGAGTTTCACCGATCTTGAACTTCATCGATAGAGCCCGCCAGTTGATTGCCACGGCTCCGAGTGTCTCCAACCACTGCATACCATGGATCACGTCGGCGCTCCCAAGCTCCAGAGGCAGGAAATCTTCCACAATGGCCACATCTTGCACGGTCAAGGCTACCCCACGACACACCCCTTCTCCTTTGACTGTGAGACCGGTACCCATCACCACTCCATAGCCACCGGTGGTATCCAACTACAACCCCAGCTTCTTAACCAAATCCATGGAAATGAAGTTGTGGCTTGCCCCACTGTCGATCAAAACTACCACATCCTCCCCCTTAACCCCTTGAGCTTCATCGTGCGAGGAGCAGTCAACCCCATCACGGAGTTCAACGACAGTTTTACCAAGTCATCGGCCAAGGCATCCTCCCACGCTTCTGTTGTCTGCTCGCCGGTACTATCCCCCTCCGGTTCTTCTCCACTGACCACCAAGACTTGCAATTCCTTGTTCGAACAGCGGTGGCCTATGGAATACTTGCCATCGCAACGGTAACATAACCCCCTTTCCCTCTTTGCCTAGAGCTCAGCGTCTGTTAATCGGCAGAAAGGGGCAGGTGGCGCACTCCCTGTTTTCTCGATGGCAGGTGTAGGTCTAGGTTGAAAATTGTTTCCACTTCGTGTCGCGCGAGAAGGAGAGGAGTTCTTAGGCCAAGACACGTGTGAGCCCATGGTCATTCCATGGGCCTGAGCTGTTGGTTCCTGTCTTCTAC